TTTTTTGCCCATTACATTACGTACTGTACCAGCAGGTACTGGTACCAGGTACACGTACTTACGAGTACCAGGTACCACTCTGGAATCAATCACGTGTACCGGTACCAGTAACTAAACCATTGTTGTACCCAATAACGGGTAAAGAATCGAATGTATCAATCAATCATCGCATCGCCTGTCATGTCTGGAGTCTATTTTGTTCCCCTTGAGACATGCAGAAAAATACTATCACAGTAGGTGAACGTGTACCTGGTACGTTTGATGAGACGTGCCAACATCAATTCTTGTTGTAACTGTTCACTATTTTCTTGGAGATGGCTGTAGGCATCGAGATGTCCGGGCGTGTGGTTGAAGAAAGTACGAACGGAGGGATTGGAATAGAACAGATTTCGCTTGAGGTCAAAGAGAGGATTATATCCTATCTTTCGACGCTTGACATTACGCGTTTGCTATCAGCATCCAGACTAGTCCGCTCTGATATCTCACTTGCTATGACAGTGTGGCCCGCTAATCAAGAGTTTTCAATTAGCAGATGCTTTCGTAGTGGTTCTGAACGAGTAACAAAAAGGTGTTTTGGGGTCGTTGTACCAAACTCACTGTCAGATCGATATCATTCAATATCTCTGCAATGCGACTGGGTGGATGAAGGCTGGACGGAGCAACAAGCTCAATTATATATTGTTTCTCATCCCAAACCGCAACTTCCAAGCCCATTGGAGTGTGCAGCTGCAGCATCGACGCTTCCTTTTGACTGCGATGCAATAGTCGCGAAATCATCTGTCGTAAGGTTTTACAAAACCACAACGACATTATCCTTCTCGCCAAAACCAGTTGAAGTATACCAGCTATGGTGCCACCTTGGAATAGGATCTCAACAAGCAATTACTCTGGAAAACATAACAATCCAAGGACTTTCGTATGGCCGCGAGAAGCCGAACTTCGATGTTCATTGCCCAAGGTTACCAATCAACGAGGAGGAAAGTGCTAGGCAAATCAGAAGCCCTATGGTTCTTAGCCCGCCGTCTGTTCTTGATGATCAGGATTTTTTGTTCCCTGCATTCAAGATCACTAGATGAGAAAGCTTGAACTCCACATCTATCAGCTCATTGCGGATTACTGGGGGCGAAGGCAAGCCCCATTCGCCTTGCAACATTCTCATAGCCGCCATATTTACCGATCTTCGAGTCAAGCTTTAAAGCTTCGTCGTCGTCACTTCTTAAAATATCTCGAAAGGTGGGCATAGCAATTATTGGAAATTGCAATGGAGGGCTTTTTTTCATGTTCTCTTGCCTTACAAACTCAAACAGCTGAATTCCAAACTCTAAATCGAATTTTCCATAGCTTATCCTATCGGTTGGATTGTTGGTGCCATCTTGCGCTGACGACACATGCATCATTCCAAGCCTCTTGGCGACAAACCTTTGTCCTCCAAAGTATCCTATGAGACTCTTCAGTCTCCCATATCCTTGTTCATCGAGTCCGGACACGGTAGGGAATATGGAGTAGTCTCCATCAAAAAATTCGTCGCAATAGGCTCTCAGTTCAATCATCAGCTCGTGAAGGCCTTCCATGTAATGCCATTCTCTTGATGGTATTAAGCCAGCTTTCTTGCAGATTGCTTTTGGCCCTCCAAAACGAGCTATTGCCTGGTGAAGGTCATTTCGTCCAGCATCATTCAACTCGTTCCCCCGAGGCATCCATACAGCTGGAAGGTCACGAGTATCGCGACGATTGCTCAAGTACTTGTATCTGAAGGATACATTAGATACACTGTACACTTCACAGACCAAGAAAGTAAACTGAATAGATTCCAACACTTACAATTCGTCGATCACGACTTCCTCAGAACGCCAGAAACCCTTCTTTTTTCTTTCACTCCTTTGAATCCATCGTTTTCTCTGTCGCGATTCAGTTGCCTCCATTGGGTCCTCTCTTTTCTTCAACTTCGCTTGTTGGGGCGACAGGGGAGGGATTTCAGGATCGAGATTCTTGTCATTTTGTATTAATTCCTTGACCCACTCAATTTCCGATGCTTCCTTCCACTTTCCTGGAACCAAAAATGCGCCATTCATCTCTGCCGAGAGGAATTCCCTCCCACCGAATTGATAGATTGCATATCGAAGGTCGTTCCTCTCCCAATAGTTCAAAAGAGACTCGTTTGGGATGGGAGGTGGTTGATCAGAAGGTATGTTTACATTGACCGAAATCCACTGGGTCCGAATTTCCTTTTCAATGTTTTCGATGTTTTTCCAATAACCTCGTGGCTTTCGCCCCCGTTGATTCTTCCGTGTTTGGGTTGGACGAAATCCTGATCTTTGTTGGGTGTTCGAGGTCTCCAGAGCCGGTGAACATCTCACTTGACACGACTGCAAGTTTACCAGGCAATCAGCAAGGAGTATGCTTCTGGCCAGCAGACTGAATGCAAATTGCCTTCTCCAATGCATAGCAATGCAAAGGTGTGCTTCTTTGAGGCAATATCAAATACGATACTATACTGTACTGTACCAGATGGTGAATTGACTAGCTCGACTGAAAACTGCATATGAGGTTTGAGAGTATAGGTAGTCCAGTAGTTCTTGCCAGTTTGACTTTCAAGCTTGAAGCCAGTGAAATAGAAACAAATTGGGACAGGATCATTTCGACTCTCTGAGTGGCGAGAAGAATGGAATATGGAATGTTCACATTTTCACAAATGCGTCAAATCACCATCCCTCCATGCAGCCAGAACTTTGCAAGGATGCTGATGTCATCACCAAAAGGATTAACAAACTTTGATACAACTACCAGCACGGATAAGGCAACACCTTTACAGCGCAAGCTGTCTTACCTCGAGTTGACAATACAGGATTCTGGTACACTGGTGCACAAGAGGAGAAACGAGATCTTCGTCAAAAATTTGGATTCTGTTTGGAATGCGGCGAAGGACTACCAGCGAAGCTATACATGCGCAAACGAGTACATTAAATCCATTTTGGACGAAACGGGAGCTCTGTTTGTCACTGGAGAGTGTGCTGGTGGAGTTTGTTTCGCATGTTACCCCAAAAGAGATCCGAGCCTCCTATCTCCGGAGCGGAGGCGTTACAGCTTGTCCATAAAGTCCCCTTCCTTTCGGCGCTGAACGTAGGGCTGAGAAGAAGTACCTCAAACCTCTCCACACAGTATCATAGGTGAACTGAAAATTGCACCTCGCTCCAGCAACTCGCTAAACTACTCTATAATACTGGGAGCAATTGATTCCTCGACTACTTCGATCAACTTGTTGAAAATGGTACTGTAGTATAAGGACTGTAGACAGTAGAAAATCGTTATGAGGCAGCATAAAGTAATACTAATTTTCAAGGCTCATGTCATTCCTTTGTCTCACTTATCATCAATCATCATCCGGTTGCACTTTTAAAATATCGATGAATCGAATCATAAATTGAATATTCTGAAAACTTACTCCATTAGAAACGTCTGGACTTAGCCCGTTCAAGTCGACAGATTTCAAGATTCTGCCATTCATTTTTTCTTCAAATCCATCATGGCGACCGAATCTGTAAGAACGACGCAGGAGCAAATGCAAAATGGGCTTTCAACGGAAAAGATCCGTATGATGATTGATGCTTGCGGATCGGGTAATACAGCCTTGATTGAGCAGCTTGCTGCAGAAAACCCTTTATTTATTCGACAGCAAGATTTTGAAACTGGATTGTCGCCTCTAATGGCAGCGGCCAAGACTGGAAATTTGGAACTCTCTAAGCGCTTGCTCGATCGGGGGGCACCTTGGAATGCAGTAGATAGGGATGGAAACTGCGCAGGAAATCATGCCATGAGTGGGGAACATTGGGAACTCGTCAACTACTTAGTCGAATGGGGCACTCGCGCGGAGTTAGTCCTCGGAGAAATGCAAAGGTGTCAACAACAGGCAGGAATCAGCATTATTCCGCAAGCACCCACAAAGGACCCCGGATATCAGTCATCGACAAAATCAGACTATCTGAAGCACCAACTACGATACAGCAAAGATGGTAACGCACTTTTGGATGGTGATGATGATGCTGTTATGATGGAGTGGGAAAGGCCGATTATGAAAGCCCATGCATCAATAATGATGCAGGCACCAGGAAAAAGAGTGATGAATGTTGGTTTTGGTATGGGGATTATTGATTCGATACTGCAGGAGCACAATCCTGCATTGCACATCATAATAGAGGCCCATCCGGATGTTTACCAGAAAATGTTGAAGGATAAGTGGGATCAAAAACCAAATGTCAAGATATTCCATGGACGCTGGCAAGATGTCATACCACAGCTCGCAAAGGAAAAGGTCGAAGTAGATGCCATATTCTATGACACATACGGAGAGCATGCGTTTGACATGGAAGACTTTCATTTTGCGATGTCTGACATTCTTAGCAAACCGCTTGGAGTCTACTCATTCTTCAATGGTCTGGCACCAGACAATCTATTTTTCCACGGTGTTGGTGAGTACTTCTGTAGTACACATGTTCGTGCTGGAGTAAACGTTCTCACCTGTTGCCTTTGTTGGGTATGTGCAGCTTGTCAAGTTATCAAGTTGCAACTTGGCAAACTAGGTTTTGATTCAGAGTTTCTCCAATGCCAAATTGAAGTAAATGACAACAAAGTTTGGGATGGAGTTCGTAGGAAATACTGGCACGGTCGAGACGTATACTATCTGCCGCGAATAACTTGGAATCAAGAGTACATAGGTCGCAAGACAAAGGCAAATAGTAACGAGGAGCACGTGGATACGGACATGGAAGAAAACAGCACCAAAAGACAACGAAGATAAGCTTGGAAAAAATTCTGTTATTGGAATACACGAGCTGATTCCAATAGGATGTGGTCTTGTAATGCAGTGTGGCCCAACGAGTTAGCCACGAGTTTTGCTATATCATGCTGTATACAAACAAGTGTCCAGATGATATACAACTGAAATACAAACAGAAGAAACAGAACAGTGGACGACAAAAATGACTGAAGACTTGCAGGTGACACAGACCGATAATCTTGAGATTCTTGCTGAGGTGGACTCGACTTCGTCAGTGATAAAACGGTGTCTCCATCGTGATGGAGACTCTTCGACATAAAAGCTGCCAAGCCTTGCAGTGATTTCTCCATGTCTGCTTTTGTGGTGCGTGTGATAATTCCCTTAAACATGGTCGACTTTACGAAGCGGATGTCATAGACCATCGTCACAAATACTTTGTCTCCCATAGCTGCTACACGAATTTGATCCACCACATAGAAGCAATCTGTCATGGGAACATCTTCCACAATAGTCTTGGTCTCTAGAGCCACCCCATCTCTACCATATTTTCGATAGCTTTGTTCCTTCCGCGCCTTCGCTAACGGCGGCGCCATCGGGGCGTTAACCGGGTGAGAATACTCGACGACACGAGTCATCAACGAATCGTTCTCTTTCCAGCTTGAGGAATACACGTTCTCCTCGCCACTTCCTTGCATATACTTTGGGATTGAAAGTTTTGCAGAATCCGAAATGAATAGATCGAAGAAGGTATCTAGACTACATTTCAGTTCAAGATCCTTCACGGCAACCTGGGAATACGACGTTGCATCATTCAACAGACTTATCCATGACAGGTCATCAGTCACTGAGCTGTTTCCAATACTCTCTTCGGTAGAAACCGTAGAGAGGACTTGGAGATCTTCGCTCTCTCTATTAGTTTCTTTTTCAAAGGTGAATGCTGCTTGTGACAAAGAAAACGGATCAGAATTATTCCGCCTCAAGCTTCTTGATAGTTCCCTTGGAGTGGCTGGTTTTGGAGGAGTATCGAGAATGCTGTCACTATGAAGGTCGACTAAAGAACTCCAAACCCTGTCAGGGTCGAAGAAATTATCAAACGTGAACGTAGTCCCTTTCGGTTCTTTGACCACAATGTCCACACTTCTTTTCTTCTTTTTCACCTGGACCACATCCATCCAGCTGATTCTTTGACACCAGTCAAAGAAGAATATTCTTCCAGTAAACAAAATGGCCGAGGGCCCTGTGTAAAGTTTCCCTGTAAAGTTGTTGTGAACACAATCGAATTCATCACAGATGAATCCACCAACAGCTCGGGTGACATCGTCGATATTCGACGCGAGAGATTTATCTACCTCTTTTCGATTCAAAAAAGACTTTTGATTCGTTGAAACCTTTGACATTCCTGGGTCCTTGATTTGCCGCAAGTGAAAGTTTCGTATGATCAATCATTGGCATACAGTGGAAAGAACAAAATACATGTAATTTGGAAAAATCAAAATAACGGTTTATCGAGCGGGTCGACCTGCTTTGCAATAAAAAATAACGACAATCATAGCCGCTACAGGCAGGCAGACAGACTGACTCTTCACGGGTGGGAGGTGTTGTCGTCGGTTTTGAGGTGTCGGTGGAAGGAAGGTGAAGGTCCAAAGTTAAAACAATGCCACTTGATTTGCTTTTTATCAAATCCTAGATTAACGCCGTCAGAGTGCTCGACTAAGACAGTAATCACAGTATGAAAACACCGAGTATTGACCATTAGTTGGGTTTCGCTACTCTATTAGGCCCATTAAAAATGAGCACCAGTGTGATTCATCATCAATCATTTGATGACTTATGGGACCAGCAAAATGGCAATGATGTTCTACTTTCGTTGCGAAGACTCCGAGAAGAGTTACTTCGGCGTGAGATGTTACCAGAAGATCCATCGGAGGCATTCCTGGCAATTCAAGGAGCTGCACTTCGTTTTCGTCCTCCGCCTCGTTTGCAGACACAAGATAGTGATGGGAATCAATTATCACCGCGCTCGATGGATGAAGCAACAGTACAATTACACTGGTCAATTACAGAAGAAGCGCTTGGGTTGGTTACCGTTCTTTCTTGCACATGTGTTGGTCCTGCTTGGCGTACTCAAATGCGAGAGAGAAGATTGCTTGCGGCTCAGCTCAAAGCCCATCGTGATGGAAAGCAAACAAAGTCCTCAATTGTTACTTCTGGGTCTCAATTCCCGCAAATTCCAGAGATTCTTCCAGGCGCCATGCTGAGATTCGCAGCCTCGGTTCTTTCCTTGCTTTCGCATGAAGCACCCGCTTCGTCGATGCAACCAACAGAAGCGAGGCACTGGGAGGAGAGAAACGCAAGTATAGCTATCTCTCAAAGATATTTGGTCTTGGCACTGTGTAGTCAGACGCCTATGATAAGCGAAGACGTTAGAAATGTCGTATCATATTCTGAAGGATTACTTAGTGGCCCAAGAGAGAGTATCTGGACCATACCAGGAGTCAGTGAGGTCATGGAAGAAATGGTACTCTTTTGGTTAAGCCTTGCAACAGAACCCAAACCATCGAACGATTGGCCGTGCACCTATCAGGTGACAAGCGCCATAGCCGATCTAACTGGTGTCGGTTGGAGAGCAAGACCAGAGCACAAAGCTGGTACACTGGTCGTCGATTGCCTCATCGATATTGCCGAAGCAGGAATGGATTTCGTAGAAGTTGGGTTGGATGCCTCCCATTCTCGACCAAAGGAATCACAGCGCTCTGAATACTATCAGTCAGTCTTGAATGCGATCCGAGCACTAATCCATCTTGCGAACTGGGGCAGCATCCCCGTCCAGTTGCAGAGAACAGTGGCACATAGAGCATTCTGCCTTCACATAGCTTTTGAACGATTCAAAAATATGTTGTCTGGTGTCGGCCTGTATGGTGGCAATGCAGTAGCCACAACCGATATGACAGAGGAAAGCGCTCCATTTCTGATGCAAATGAATTCACTATCCAATGAATCCGCAGATCTAGTTTGGGCACTGCTAAATTCGCAGTCGACGGCCGCCAATGCAATGCAATCCCTTTTTGAAGTGATCCAGTCTCCATATTCGATTCCGACGACTGTCGCCGACGGTGGCAAGGAATGTATGATGAGAGGGGTCGCAATCCGAATGGTGAGTTCGTCGTTGTGGAGAAGAGGCTCGCTGTGGCGTCGCGAGGATTCAGAAAAAACATTGAAGGTTTTAAGAGAAGTTTCACAAAGAGTCTATTCGACGATACAAGAGAAACAAAGAAAGGCAGAAACCATCGACAATTTGACCTATGATATGCTGGCGTTGGCAAGGGATACTGTGATTTCTTTGGGAATCTTTGCTGACTGGCAGTTTAGTAGCATGAACATCAAAACTGCTTCAAACGAATGGGATATATTCATTGTTGCAGTCGAAGAAGCCTTTCTGACTTGGCAGGATTATTCGCAGATTCAGAGCAAGTCCACTACCTCAGACAGATCTTCTGGTGCAATCAGTCGTCTTTTGGACGGAGCGCGATTGGAGTGCATGTCTCTGTTGTTGCGAATTGGGGCATGCTTGGACAAATTCGTCCAGATGGAAAGAAGCCCATTTCATGCAATCGTCAGCAACGTCAGTCAAAAGAAGCTCTACTTGTTTATACTTCGCACAGTTGTTGCCAGGGTCTCGTCGGCTGATGCTGAACTCCTTGGACTATCGGCATTTCGAGCTTGGATGAAGTTTTTGAGTCGGCCTATGAACCTTGCGGACCGCATTGCGGAAATAATCATTGAGGGTTTCTCAAAGTACCCTAATGGAACATACGTGCATTCACCGAATGTCCGCGAAACTTGTCTAAGGGTGCTGAATACGGGGATAAGTGAAGCGAGTTTGCTCCCTTCCAAAGAGAATTTTTTCGCACATGGACAATCCGTGATGCACATGATGAACAGTCGATCCTCTTCGAGTATCAACGGTATTGTGATCCCTTTGTTGCGGTCGGTGCTAGTGGAAGGTGCCACTGGTCCAGATGGGGAGCTTATACTTTCGGAGGAGATGAAGACTGCTGCAGACATGGGCGACAGCTTTGATCTGGCATTACACGAGTCATCCTCGTCGTTGGCTCTAGAGTCTCTTGCAATCACATTGGTTTCGGAGTTAATTCGCGATAATGTATCTACGAGCCACGCTCGATCCCTGCTGGTGGATTCGCTGGTATCAGTGGCATTGTCTGCTCCTCAGCTGAGAGCGGACAAAGCCCAACAGGGAACAAGTCTTCAAGATTCCATTCAACTCCGGGCTGTTGTTGAGTTGCATGCTTGTCTTATGGCTCCTTTTTGGCATCTGCCGTTGATGCATAACATTCTACCTAGGATTGTGGACGCCTTGTGCGCCGTCTTGGTTGCGAACATCGAGCTTAATCCTGCCGTTGAACCGGCTTTCAATTTTTCAAAGACAGTGCTTGCTATAGCATCATTGGTGGCACTTTGCCGCTTGAGACCAATAGTCAAAGGAACAAGATTATCTGTAGTGCCATTCAGTCGTCTAGAGAAGGCATTGCCCGAATCCGTGCCACCTAGTCTGCTGAAGCCTCGAACTCATCTCGATATTCAAGGGGTGCGGGTTGCACGCTTTGTTAGGCTCTCAGGGCGCGGTGACGGAACCATCTCCAATCCATCTCGAAACGAGGGTGTGAACTCCACCGTGCTTGATTTCGAGCCAATCATCAAGGCTTTGATATTAGCACTTGATGCGAGTAGAAGTTCAAGGGATAGCCTATCACCAGATGTTTGCTTGTTGCTCCAAAGTATTGGATCGCTCTGTTTCCATACATTGACGGAAGTCACTTGCTCTGGCTTCTACCCCTACAGCAGCGTTTCTTTGGAAAGTATAATTTTTGCATCTGGAATAGCATGCACGGAATCAGTCCATGAAATCTGTGTCAGGAGTCAAATGCTTGCTGCGCTCACCGAGTGCGCTGTTGCACATCATGCTGACAGAAGCAGCAGCGAGGGCAGTAACGGTTCGCGAGACAAATACACTGATTCGCTCCTGAACCTTATACTGTACGTTTGTGATTCATCGAGACCCAGAGAATCTACAATCGGTTGTCGAGCGGTAATGGCAATCCTGCCATCCCTCACTGCTATCGACTCGATCGAAGGAAGCAAACGAGTTTCTGATATCTTCACTCGGATAAGCAAAAGGTTACATAGAGAACTAATGGCACTTAGGAGACGACAGCCTCGAAACATGCTGCCTGAAATTGATGAAGTTACAATCTTGATATCGATACAGCAAGAAATATTGACATCAACGAATACTGCATTTGGAGATTTGCTGGGGTTCTTTGATCTATGCAAAGAAATTTTACAAGCTATGATGCTGATGCCGCCATCACTAGGCTTGCATCTAACTCTGCAGTGCCTAGTGTTGTCAATCCAAAGACTGTCACGGGAGTCTTTGATGCAATTTTTAAGCAACAGTTCGAACTTGAAGCTGCATAACTTTGGTCAACTAGATTCGGCTTCTGCGATTCCGCAACACGAAGTAACCTACGAATTTGTTGAGCTGATATTGCTGGAATGTGTCAAAAATTGTCTCGATGATGCGCCAAATCCCTCATTAGAAACTGGAGTAGATCACGAAAGAATGGCCCTTGACATTGATCGAATCGATAGGTTTCAAGTAGAGCAGCACCTGGAGAGCCAAGAGGAGATAAAAGAGGTCTGGTTGTGCGGTGATTCTTTACTGATCTCTGTACGTGTGGGATCTTCTCGGTACAAAGGTTGGGTAGAGCTTGTAAAGAGAAGTCCCATGCTGCGCAGGAGAAAAATGGTTCGGTTACCTTCTTCTTTTTCAATCACAGACCCAGATCGAATATCCATGATATGGTCGAAAAACACATTGGACACTGCAAACCCAAAGGAAAAAAATTTCCTCAACAGCTCGACAAACCTCAATCTGGCAAAATCTAATTCGTTGATTCAACGTTTTGACGATTTGTTGTCACCATCCACACCAGATGAGGTTGACAAACCGCCGCTCTCCGGCCTTCCACTGAATACTGAAGCAGTACGCGTAGCTCCAAAAAGTGCGAAGTTTGAATCGGGGAAGACAGAAATGAACGCTGACAAAAGCATCTTAGCGTGGCTGCAGAAGCATATTCACTCAAACGAAGGTGTTGATATTGTGAAAAGGTCAATGATTGAGGACCTTCAAATTCCAGAAGAGCTCATAACATGTGGCATATCAGCGCAAAGTACCAACGAGTCCAAGCTGACACCCGTGGATACTGTATATCCTATTCAACAGCTCATGGCTGGCAGACAATTGGACCGGGCCCTGGCAATCTTGGACAGGACCAGCCCCGCAAGCACTCATAAAATCGGAATCCTATACGCTGGGCCACTAGTGGAAGACACCAAAAAGAATTTGGACCCGGAGGCTTTCTTGATTTCAGTTCGGTCATCGTCTCCATCCTTCATTAGGTTTACAGAAGGTCTTGGTGACCTTGTTCCAACTAGACAGCTAAGATATTTCTCAGGAGGGCTTGATGTGTCCGAAAACGAGTCAGATGGTCGATACGCACGTGTTTGGATTCGGAACGAGCATTCAAGTATTTCGGCATCCAAGAGCATTGCTGTCTATCATATTGTACATCTCATGCCTCCTGGTTTAAACAACAGGAAGCGTCACGTTGGGAATGATAACGTTCTCGTCATATTCCTTGAAACAGATCTGGCTGTGGGTTTTGATGTCGACTATTCGGAGGAAAGGCTGAAGGAATCGATTGTGAGTGGACACTTTGGATTCGCTACAATCTTTGTTTCGTTGGGCTCGACCACTAGAAATCTGGCAAAAGTCACCGTACTAATACGGGAAGGCTTACAAGAGTCTCTGGCTGCAAACATTGCAATATTTGCGGGTACAAATATAATTGCTGCGATGCATGTGGCAGCTTATGTCCGTAGTCTTGCAATTCGAATTGACGTCGCATGTCGAAGTGTCCTTGACAATCTGTCGCCTCCTTCTAACTGTAGCGAAAGGTATCGAATGATCAAACAGTTGAAGCGATATCGGTTTTCATCGAGATAAGATGGCTATCACACGGCGAGAAAGCTACAGTATTATACAAGTTAGTTTCCATCCTCATTCGAATGAATCGGCAGTACCTGGTACGGTATAATATTTGGAACGAACTAAAATATATAAAATAACTACGACGCTCATTTAATTCGAGTACAATGTCACTGCCCACGAATCTGGCATCATGAAGAAAGGCGAGAGTCAAAGAATATACTGGCAACAATGGCTTACAGCTAACGGAGCCAAGAACGGAGGCACTAGTCGACGCGAACTGATCACAAGCTCTGCTGCAATTCGAATCTCTCCTGATACTGCAAAGGCGAAAGATGTGACTCAATTGTTGAGAAAGACGTTAAACCTGTCGTCACTGAGCAGTCAAAAGGATAGTGCTGCAGCATTTGATGCTATGGTCTTGGTAGGAACTTTGTATTCATTGCCCAATGACTATGTCCAGTTTGAGCACAATCTGATGCTGGCTAGAGCACAGTCAAATTCTGCATCTACATCTGTGACCACCATTTCTTCAACGCATGCAGAATCATTCCATGTCGTGAAAACATTGGAACCAGAAGACAATCCCCTGTCAATGCGTGACAAGATGATGGATCATTTGAGACGGCTTCAAGATCTTGCTCCATCAGGTCGATCAAACATCTCACCCAAGTTCCAATGGTTCTTCGTGCCGTCTTCCCAACCTTCAACGCCACCAAGCCCAATACCAAGCTGTATCGATCTAGATGGCTATTGTACATCAATGGAAGAGGAGGAATACGAGAGTGACAACGAGAGTTTGGAAACCGGTTCTACGGAACTGTGTGGCACAGCGGATGCATTGCAGCTAGGTGCTGAGACAGAGGACATGAACAACAGCCAGGATTCGTCAATTTTGAACACATTATCTCAAATGAGACCGAAAGAAGGCAAATTTGAAGATCCCAGTCAGATGAATGGTTCGCAAAATTTCAACACAATGAAGTCACAAATTAAAGAGCTCCGACGATATGTGCAAATGACGCAGTCTCAGTCAACTTGCATTTTGCCTGTTTCTGGATACCTCTTGAAACAGTCGCACGTGGATCGACATGTATGGAGAAGGGTGTACTGTGTCTTGACGGGTGATCACTTGTGGTATGTGACGCGGGTGCCATATTCAACCACGCGGAATTTCCCAGAAGTTGCAAAGAAACATGGACGAATTTCACTTGAGCGTGCTCTTTTGCTAGAGCCAAACAAAGAGTATGCCTCGTCGCCTCTTTATCGGATCCCAAATGGTTTTGAAGTTGTATCGGCTAAGGGCACATCTCATGTATTCCGAGCACCCAGCCGTGCAGTTCAAATCCACTGGATTCAAGCCTTGTCGAACAAAATTATGGAATCATTTGAGAATAGTCTAATGTCTCATGCTGAACTGATTGTGGCAGATGAATCTTCTGCTCGCAACAAACGGCTATCGACCCTCGCGGTAGATCCACTGTGGACGGAAATCGAAGCCGATCCGCAACACATCGACTCGTCGATTGCAAGTGTACTTCAGTTGGGTTTGGATGTATCAGAGTATCGCGAACAGTGCCGACACATTGAAGCGTCCGTCCTTGCAAAAAGTCCAGTTGTCGTTGTGTCTGAAGCAGCTGCAAGGTCCCGGAGAGGGGATGCATCTCGCGAACCCATCGATGCAGCAACTGTTCAACTTGTACAAGCTACTTGGGATATGGCTATGAATCTACTTTCGAAAGCAACGAACGTTGCTATGGAGATCCAGACAGTATCAGACACCAAACAGCTCTCGCGTAGTCTGGAGGTACTGTGTCGGCATGTCGATTATGTGATCACTGGGCAACGCCGTCAGTCAAATGGAGCAAGGCAAAAGGAGAATAGTTCGAACAGGGAACATAGCTCCGACCCGCCGCCAACGGACTTGTTCGATTTACTTCTAGCAGAACTGCAGTCAATCGTTGGGGGGAATACCATGTCATGCTGAAGTATAGGTAAAATAATTGATTGAATTTTATTGGGCTATAAGTAGATCCAATTCCCGATTGTGGGGGTATCATTTGAATATTTTACTGCTCCTTCATAAAGTTTCAAATGGGCTGTTTTCCATCCTTGGCCTAAATATTTAGCTCAACTGGGCATTCTTAATTGTCTTTGTCTTGCAAGGACCAGCGCTGGTCATGAAGGCGTGTCCGTTCCATGTTGCAACACAGCTGCCATTGCTCTTCATATTTTGGGCGCAAGTCACCCACACCTTCTTCTTTTCCACTTGAGCACCACTGAGAGGATGCGGCTTTGGAAGCCCCTCAAATGTCACGACTTCCCCAATGAGAGCTCCTTCAGGTGGCTGTACGAATTCACATCTTTCAGCTGAAGATGGCTAGTTAGAACAGGCTGGGTGATAACGAGCTTGCAATGGTTGTAACAACAACTTACTCCCATCCTCAGATGTTTCCTTGCAACAAAGGACCATACCATGTGATTTGAATCGAACCAAATTTTTGGCCTTCAGGTTCGACACTACCAATAATCTGGCCCCAAGCATGTCGTCGGTCGTCATATACGGTCTTTTAAACTTTTTGAGCTCCTTTCAAAGTTGCTGCATATCGGTCACACATATTCTTCTTACCTCAAGCCGCTCGCAATTTGTCTGACCGATTCTTCACCAACATCAATCTCCTCGCAATAAAGTTTATCCGCTTCAGGGTGGTTCCAAACTTTTGTAATAACACCGACCTTGAATTCTAGCTTGCAAATGTCAGGTTGCTGATCAGGGGGTGGAGCTCCTGGTTTGGATTGTTGCTTCTTGGCGTTCTTTTTGTTGTTGTTTTGTTTCTTGTTGTTATTCTTGTTGGTGTCGATGCTCTGGCCAGGTAGGAGCCCTAGGCGAGCCTCTATGTCTGCAATTGCCTTGTCAACGAGATCCATTGGGTCTGCTGCCATCGTGTCTCCTGTTGTACTAAAGGTATTCCTGGGAAGTTTGCTTTTGCATGAAATTGTTGATTTGATTATTGATTTGATTATTGATTTGATTATTGATTTGATTATTGATTTGATTATTGATTTGATTATTGATTTGATTATTGATTTGATTATTGATTTGATTATTGATTTGATTATTGATTTGATTATTGAGCACGAGTTTAATTTGCAAAATGGTTGACTCACTCGACTGATTTTGGAGCGCTCATAACCTACATACAGTACCCCTTCTACAGTACTGTACCTATGTTCAATAATGACGTGCAGTTTTTGGAGAAATGAAATGCGAGCACCGTTGTTGTTCTTTTTTCAAAGACTAATAGCATCTTTACCCCTGAGTACTCATTTCTACCAACTTCCCGTACAGTTCATCTTGGAGTTCAGCCTTGCAGACAATTGAAAGGGTCTCCGCTCCATGGTCGCCATCACGAATCCCGACAAAACTAATTCTTGCCACAACCCGTCCACTGTTCGCCTTCTCCTTAATTTTTTTAAACTCCATACCGCTGGAAACGGCAACATTGAGTGTGACTTTGCCGGCAATATCTCGCATTACCATGCGCTTGATCCCAACGTCAGACTTGAGTTCTTGCAATTTCAAATCGCCCTTTGCAAACTGAGTGCCTTTGTCACGATGGTGATACACCTTGACTTTGGTAGAATATACTTCATTCCAATCGTTATCAGCGCTTTGTTGGGTGGAGCTTCCTCCCTCTTCTCCCTTATTGGTCGAGTCTTGGTTTTCCTTTTCCGACGGAGTTGTGGATGCCGTTGGTGTACCAATAGTCGTCGAGCCTGTAGATTCTGTTTTTCCTCCAAAGGCAAACCCAAATCCAGCTGATGGTGATGGCGCGGGAGCTGGTGACGAGGTCACTGGATTTCCGAACGAGAAGGTGGGTTTTGTAGATGTGCTACTGCCACCTGACGCAGATGTGGACCCAAATGAGAAAAGAGATGGGGCTGGAGCGTTGCTAGGAGGAGGAAAGAGTGGCTTGCCGAGTGCACTTGATGCACCTGTTGAAGCAATAGCCGAAGTATTTGATGTGCCACCAAAGCTACCAAAATTAAGTGTAGTGTTTGTCGTAACAGCCGCAGAATCTACACTTGTTGCCAGACTGGTTGTGGAGGATTGTTTCGAACCCTTCAAATTGTTATAAGTATCGATATACCGATTCATGGGCAAACTCCAATCCGCTCGAATATCTTGCTTTGCGATAAAGTTCTTGAATCCTTTAGATAGTTGCGAGTTATCGCTTTGCGCCGACGAAGATTGCTGCATGGTTGTGGTGCTGGAGAGCAAGGATTGGCTCAAACTCAAGGCCTTGTTGGAGTTTGACGAATTGTAGGCGGGCAAAGAAGGCATCGCAAAAGCAGGTTTACTGCTGTTGTTTCCAAGACTGCTAGTTTGAGCTTTGGCAGCGATGGAAGGTGCGGTCAGAGATGTGGATGTCGAGGCCTTCGTGAAACTGAAATTAGAAAAGGGGTTTGATGTTGCTGTACCGGTAGCCGCTCCTCCTAGAGATGGTGCAACTGATGATGAGGCAGACGGTGAAGCGGCTGCTGCTTTTGCCTTTTTCCATTTACTTAGATGAAAAGGGTGGAGGGAAATTCAACAATTGAGCAAAGTACAGAAACATCAAAACTGCAAAATAAAAGCTCCAATGCTATTTACCTTCCAGTTCGAAGTATTCGCCGACCACTGAGTACATTAGCAGACGCCCTGGCGAAACCATCTCCACTGGAGGAAGAGTCACCGGCCATTGCAGCCTCGTACTCTTCCTTGCTCAATTGTGACATATCATTGCCTCGTTTACCCATGTTGGCAAATTCAAGTATAAAAGATTTGGATTATGTAGGAGCCACGCAAAATATTGAAAGAACTTGTGCAACACGATCACGTAGAATGGATCGATAGACGACCAAGAGGCAGCAATGAAGAGCAGCTGGCTTGGTAACGAGAAAACGTTAGATGTATGTCTTGTTCTTGTTTTGTAATAATGACGATGTTGAAACGAACGGGGTGATATGCTTGAGTGATTGTAGTAATGTCAACGGACACGGGTTGTAGGACGGTCACTTTCGAGTCCCACTAGTCGATTTAGTCAAACCGCATTGCTTGAGAGAAGATCAATCATCATCATATCGTCCATCTAATAAAAGTCGACATGGAAGCAATACCATCCGCGAAAGAACCCTCAAAGGCTGTTGTGAACCCGGAAAGAGCTTCCACGGCGATGCTATCGGAGTGTTCAGCCGATAATGATGGCAAAAATGCTAGCGACGAAAGGCAAAGACAAGATGGCGACGAAGCGGGCACCTCGAATATAGCTGGAACAGACCAGACAACAACTGCTTCGACGGAAGATGAAACAAAGGAAAGCACCAATGAAGTAATAGAGCAGAAAGGAAACGAAATAGAAAAGTTTACCGAGAATACTACAGAAAATGCTGACAAGAACGATACAGAAGTAGCCAAGAACCACGATAGCGACAAAATATCTCCGTCAACAGCAGGTAAAAGACAACTTGATGCTGATTCTGAAACGCAAGACGAAGCTACCGCAAAAGCTTCCAAAAGTGACGAAGCCAACGACGGCAAAAGTAGCATTGCTGCCGCCGAGCACAGCACGGCTTCTTTGCCAAAGCGACCCGTCAAGAGAGCTAGAACGGCATACTTTATCTTTACGGATGAGAAAAGACCCAAAGTCCAAGCGGCCCATCCGGGGGAAGGTGTTGCAGTAGTTGCTAAGGCACTGGGTCAAATGTGGGGGAATCTGTCAGCCGACGAAAAGAAGGTCTATCAAGACCAAGCCGCCAAAGAACGAGAGCGCGTTAGTCAAGAGCTCGAAGCCTACAAGTCTGCGGGAGGAAAGGACCTCGATTCACCCTCCGTCAAGGCCAGGGATCCTTTGGCCACGATTCTCCCTGTTGCTCGAATTCGAAAAATCTGCAAGCTGGATCCAGAAGTACGCGGGTTGAGCAAAGAAGCCCTTCTCCTGGTGACCAAATGTACAGAACTCATGCTGGAAAAACTTGGAAAAGAAACTGTCAAAGTGGCTCAACTTCAAAATCGACGCAAGCTCCTGCCCGATGACGTTGCCCATGTATGTGCCCATCGCGAACAGTTTCTCTTTCTCAAGGACGATGTCAAGGATATGGTCAAAAGCATGGAATCCGCTGACGGAAAGGCGAGCGGGGGAAAGAAAGGGGATGCTGCCAAGCAAATAGCAGCAGCTGGAACCAAGAAACTCACTTCTTATTTTAGTGCTCCGAAGTGAGCAGTAACTATACTGTAGCGAAAATATTGTTCATATTTCTGGCACTTTTTTGTTTTTATGCTGACGCACGAACACGCGCTTGGCAAAAATTGATGCCAATACTGTATGGACGATATTCCGAAGTGTGATTTCCCAAACGCTGAAGCAACGATTGCCAACATGGTTACCACCCGAAGCAAGAAGCGGCCTTACGATAGTACAGAAGAAGGAAAGGAGACCAATCAGAGAGAAAGCAAGGACACTAGTGATGATGTTAGCAAAAGGAGGACCACCAACCGAAGCAAACAAGCTCAAGCAAAACAACAAGACACCACTGCAAAAGAAACAGACACGAAGACACCCAAGAGCATGAATCCTTCAGATGTTTCAAGCTTCGTCGACAAGATTCTGAAAGAAGCCGGAATCGAAGAGACAAAGACTCAAAATGGATGGTGCTTGAAAGAAGCGATGACACACATTTTGAAAGCTGACAGTGGAAGAATGTTTCCACTTGTCCAACAGCATGGCGCCCCAACTATCTTCGCCTCTCTCCAGCATTGTAAGATTTCCACTGGAGGGGCAGCGGAAGCAATGACCGAGCCAAAGACTTGCTTTGAATCCTTATGTCGGATTGTTGCCGGACAGCAGCTAGCAGGCGCTGCGGCAATGAAAATGTGGAAACGTCTCTTAGATCTTGCTGATAACGGGAAACTGACTCCAGAGAAAGTGCTGGAGCTGGTCAAGAATGGAATGGAAGAAGGGCTCCGAGAACCAGTAGGACTTTCTAACGCTAAGGCTCGGTCAATCGTGAACATTGCGCAGGCTTTCCACAACGGGGACTTGTCTGAAGAGTTTCTAAAAACTTCGGAGGAACAAAAAATTCGAAAAGAGTTGATCAAGATTAAGGGTATTGGCCCATGGTCCTGCGATATGTTTTGCATGTTTTTCCTCGAATTACCAGGTAAGATTATGAGTTTAGAAACGCGACCAGTGTCATTATTCTCACCACGCCGCTTGCGCCGTTTGTTCTCTTCACTGCATCAGATATAATGCCCATCGGTGATTTAGGTAAGACTTATTTCAATTCTTCAATTCATTTCTGAAAATTTGCTCTGTCTTACGTTTGCGTCGGCAATTTAGGCGTTCGTGTTGGAATGAAGAGATACTTCAATCTTAAGGGCTCCGACAAACATGGGTATCTTTGTCAAAAGAAAGATCTAGAAAAGATGGGAAATGCAACGGGACCATTCGCACCTTACCGATCGGTTGTGGCCTACTACATGTGGAAGGTTGCAGATACCAAGGACGTCTACCAAAGTAATAGCAACTCCAAAAAACAAAGCCCAAAGAATAATCGCAAAAAATAAAAAGGGGGAAACGACATTCTACTATGCACATCACAAGCAATTGCTGAACAATGGTACCAGGTACAAGTGTGTGGCATTTAGTCCCATGTGTGATATTCGATAACTCGTGAGGCAACAAATAAAGACATGGATGAAAGGTAGATGGACCCAAAGGAGAGTCGCAATAAGTGTAGGACATTGATCGACTATCGACGTCAAGAATCCGCTTTCAATTTGATCTTGTAGAAAGAAAAAAAAGTCAGTTTCAAAGACCTGGTCGAACGGCAACATAAAACTGTATCACGTACCGCGGATGCAATGAACTCTTCAACGCTTATCTGGCCGTCCCCATCTTTGTCCATACCTTTGATTGTCTCTTCCAACTCCTGTTTTGAGAGTATGTAGTTTGATTGGTTTGCCATTTCTACCAGATTTTCTCTTGTGATAAAACCAGAACCATCGGCATCCATAGCACGAAAGTCTGCCTGCAGTTTTTCAATGTAGAGTTCCCCATTAATTATGAAGTATGAGTTACCTTCTTGTGCAGCCGCCTGAGCATGTAATTTAGATGCAAGTTTTGGATTGGGCACAACGAAACACTTGGGTTCACTTTACCATTCCCTGTATAAATTCTTCCAGGTTTATTTTTCCATTTCCAGAAGAATCCATCGAATAACACAGGTCGTCGACCTGTTCCTCCGAGAAGCCGTAACCACAATCGATACTCCATTTCTTCAATTCTGCCTTGTTGATCCAGCCACTGCCGTCAACATCAATACTTTTGAATTTCGTTTTCATGTCGTCTTTCCAGAGGAGCCCATTCCACGAAATGAATTCTTCGAAGCTGAGTTTGTTGTCTGATGATTCTACCTATTGGTGGAAGTAACGGTGACATGAGCAAAACATCGTCGCAATCACACTATGCATTTCAATGAAGACTCTACCATTTCCAATAGGTGACCGATGCCATTCTCACTGATATCATATCCGAGCGTTTTCAGGCCTTCTTTCAGCTCATCCATTTCAATAAAGCCGCTCCCATTCTTGTCGAATGCGTGGAACGAGCGCTGAAGCTCTAGAACTTGGTCTTCACCGAGGGACATCGTTTGTTTAGAATATATACTGGTAGGTACCGGTAGGTACCGGTACAAATGAAATGACATTTTCAATTTTTCAGGATTTGCTCTTTTGACTCACCTGATCAACATTTAGCACACATCACACCCTCTGCAAAGCTGCAGAAACCAAAACCGAAAATGCCAGGAGACCTCCTCACATCACGAAAGAAAAGATGAGGAACCTTGTGTTCTCCTTGACACTTGTAGCATGTGTTCTTGAATCAGCGTTGTGTTTTGTCCCTAAGACTCTGGGATCTTCAAAGGGGATTCAATCTGAAGGTAGAGAAGATTCGCAGGGACACGGCAACAGGAGAACAACTGACGAGAAAAATCGACGATCGTTTGTGAAAGCCATTGTATCAGCAATTGTTCCCCAATTTTTGTGTGTGCAGAGGTCGGAAGCAGGAGAGGTAGGTGCAAGGATCACCAATGCCGTAACTACAAGCGATCTCGGTATAACTTTCAGGAGGGCTGTTGTTCGTGGAGCACAGACCATGGATCGGGTGGATGGTAGCTGGGAAAAGTTTTCGGATAGATACAATCTAGGCGCGGCTCGATCAAAAGCAGACTCTCGGCCGACTCCAAAAGTGATCCCGGAGCTACAAGCGTTGGACACGATGACAGCCAAGCGAATATTGTACGTCTGTGACCAAGTGTTCTCCTCTATCACCGGCATTGCATCAAGTACTCTTGCAGACCGGATACAGAGGATTGCAAATGCAATCAAGATATCCTTCCAGCGTTCAGGTGTCGAGATTGATGCCAACAGTCCACTAACCTTATCAAATGCAGCACAGTACAACTTTGTTATGTATGCACATTTCAAAGCCTATTCCGAGTTTATTCTCGAAAAGAATATTTCATTCCCAGCCTTTCGTCAAGCGTTTGAGGGAGTATTGGGCCAAGAATTGTTGATCTTATTTATCCCAGAATATGTAAGCCAGATAAATGATGAAAAGCTTTCGAGCAAGGATAAACTGAAACTGGCAACGAATGCGCTTGGTGCTTGGTGCAAGAAGTTTCAAGAGAAGGGTTTGCTTGCGGCATATGAGATCGGAACCATCGACGATGATGATATTAGTGATTGGATCGATGGTATCTCAGACTTGCAGTTCAACCTTGCTTTGGATGGAGATGCGACAATGAATTCCCAGATCTTGCTCCAAGAACAGGGATATAGACTATATCCCAACATTGCCCGCTTTGCTGCCGCTGCCATAATGAGTCAAGTTGACCGCCGACAGAAAGTAAGCACGATGGACTACTATTTTGATACGGACTACAGCTCTGATCCAGACAAATTCGAGGTCAAGGAAGTATTGGTAAGCGTGTCAATAGATTATATACAGTAGATTATGGTTCCTTTTGTTCACAGCTATCAAATTACTTCTTGATTTCATACTTTGGGGGCATCTTTACTCCGACGTCCTCATCAGTTTCTAGATCTAGTAATTTGATGACGACCTTCACTGTCTTGTCCATACCATCTGCAAGGCATTCAATGAAATCGGTGCACTTTTCCTTTCGTTTCTTCCATTCGCCCCTCATCCGGTTGATCTCAACTTTAACTCTTGTTGGGTTTGATTTTACTTTGCATACCTTTGGTTGTGCAAGGCCGAATTTTTGTTTGGGCACAACGGTCTGCTCACCAGCGGTAATTCTCTTTAAGATGGCATCCACTTCTATTTGAAGGCTCGCAACTTCTTTTTCGGCATTGACGACTTTTTCGTTCAACTCTTCATTCGAAGGCTCTTGCATTACTTGATGCAATTCCATCACCGTTGCCTTCTCTTGCTGCTGCAAATTTGCTAGCTTGACACGGGCTTCAGACACTTCATGTGGCGGTACCATCTCAAGAGCAGCCATTAGCTCCTTATTCTTTGAATCTTCATTTGCCCAGTAGAGCTCTCGTGATCGACTTTTCGACGTGAACTCCTTTTTGATTATCCAGCCCTTGTCAACCAGCGTGAGAAGGCAAAAATTAACGGAAGCTTCACTTGTTTTAAGATACTGTGTCACTAAAAGAAGTAAAATAGGTATCAGGCAATGTACAATGTGTTAGGTTGTGATTCTCTCGTGAATAGCCTAGTCGTGGTTGACATGCGGTCCAAACAACTTACATTCCTTAACAGTGAACGGGCGGCCACTGAAGAAAAGATGCTGCAAGAGCTGGTCTTGGAAGCTTTTCTTCTTTTTCCTTTTCTTGCTGGAGTCGGCCTTTGGCTTCATTTCTGTTGTGTCAGCTGTCTTTTTGTCTTCTGCTCCCGTTTTCTTTCTGACGCTAGTTGCTTTTTGCTTCGCAAAAGCTTTGACATCTGGTGTTTCGATTGCTGTAACAAGGCTAGTCTTGGCGGGCGATGCCATTGATTTCGTAGCTGCGTTTGTAGAGGACACTTTCGAATTTGGAGCAATCTTTGCAGGGGATGTCTTTCGAGTGCCTGGTGCCTTGGATTCTGATACCTTACTTTCGGCGATGGACTGAAGACTTGTTTTTGTTTTTTTGGCTTTGGTGTTTTTCCTTTCTGTGGGCGTCATGGTTGTCGATGTTTTTACCTCGTTCTCTACCTCATAGGACTGTTTCTGTGACGACATTTTCTTGGCCCTTTTCGCGATTGTGCTTTCGTTACTTGCTTCCGAAATGGCCGAGTGGACACGAGATGCTGCACTCGGTTTCGATGGCAGTTTCGGGGTGGACGTTTCTGCCGGCTTCGGTTTTGGCTTGGAAGTGTTCTCATCATCGCCATTTGACAAGACAGTGAATTGTCCGAAACTAGTTCCTTCCATCATGGTGATTGACGGGGGAGACTTGGGTCTCACCTTCTTTGCGAGTGAATCCTGGGGAGAAACAGAAACCCTTCGTTTCTTTGCAGGCCTTGCAACCGGCTGGGTACACAAAGGCGACGGTGCTGTGAGATTGCTTTCTTGCGAATCCATAGGATTGACTTGGAAGGCGTGGTCCTTGTCCTTATCCTTATCCTTGTCCTTGTCCTTGTCGTCGCAGTCTTCATTGTCGAACTCTTCGTCGGATGAATTTTCTTCCATTTGAAAGGAAGCTGAAGATGCAGAACTCGACACACTTGATCCAATGGAGTAATCATCAATATATCCGCCTACAGGACGTTTCTTTGCGGGGAGGTTTCTTGTTGATGACATGATCTGGTTGGAAATCAGAATTTCATGCGAATTTTTAACAACTCATTGCTCATCGCGTTGCCATTCTTTCGGGAATGGCGCGAAGTGTTCGATTAGGTCGACTGCTGTAAAAATTTACCAATTTCATTTCAGAATAACAGATGACAACGCAATCCATCATTCAATATAATCCAAAGCATGATATGGAAATCCATCTTGGCACCAGTCACCAAGCGACATGTTCAGCAAAAAACCATCAAGACACATCCTCTTCATCTTTTTCGGATCATCCAAGATGTGGACGACTATGTAAACTTTCTCCCATTGTGCAGCTACTCGAAGATTCTTCGAAAGGCACCAGATGGAAGAACTTTTGATGGAAAGTTGGGGATAGGGTTTGGGTTATTCTCGGAAGAATATACGTCTAGAGTGACAGTGATACCAGAGACACTAACCATTAAGATGAAGAGCATTGAAAGCCAGAGAATTAATTCATTGAAGAGCCACTGGTCATTAGAGGAAAAGCAAGGAAAGAACAACGAGGTCCATTGCGGTGTAACCTTTCAGTTAGAGTAAGTCGCTTTCATCTACGCTACCTGATCATGTTATCTTTGAACATAACCAACAATGCTGATCTAGGATGGAAGTGTCAGATCCAGTAATCGTCGCTGTTTTGGATCAAGTGTTACAAGAAGTTGCCGGTCGACAAGTTGAAGCATTCGAGAAAAGGTGTGAAGAATTGCCATTGCCCGACGACTTGATTGAAGTAGCAAAGCGTTTCAAGCAACTATAGTACTAGTATTTTGTGCCGAGTATGGACAGCATGAATCCGTTCTTCACTGTGTCCGCTTGCAGATCTTTGTCATGGTGTCATGGAACTCTTTATACTTGTGATCAAGCTGTGCCGTAAACTTGGCATAAAGCTTGTCCATGGAAGCATGCAAGTCCGATCCTCCGAAATCGATCCATTCCTCTTTGATTGCGGATTCAGGATGTGGATTGTGGATAATGAATCCTTCAGGAAGAATTAGAAAGCGATAACCTGTTTTCCGTAGATGCGACACTAATTCAATCTTGTTTTTCCCATATCCATGGAAGCGTTCATCGTAATATGGGGCTTTTGGAACGCTCTTTTCTCCAGGGGAAGGCGACGTAGGACACCACTGAAGGACTACATATGGCTCATATCGTGCAGAGTGGAAACATTCCACTGAGCGAAGCATGTTTTGTTCCTCTCCATTGTACCAGCTTCGTTGAATCCATTCCTTCGACTGCGTTGACGAGTGGGAATCCCAGCTGACGCTACTTTGGAATGGTTGGCACTCTCGTCTCTTGACACAACCTTGTAGGTCTTCAAAAGAATGTGGTAAGAATGAGTCATCAGATTGCAAGTACTTCGTGCAGCTTTCTTCTGTTGTACATGGCTTGGGCGGAATGCGTTCAAAGGCTGGCACAACCAACGCTTGCCGATCTTCTTGGAGCTCTATTTGGTTCTCGAGCACTTCTCGAATTCGTCCATCTAAGTCTTGTGAAGGCAAGAAATCGATATCTACCACGAGAACATGGCTCGTCGTTACAGCATCCAGCCCGATATTGCGAAGCCGATTGACAGGATACGCTTTCTTTGCAGATTCCTCTTCTGTAGCCTCGTAGAAAATGAGCTGCACATTTGAGCAGTGCAACGTAGCTTCTGGAACTTTTTCGTCAGTAGGAACAAAAACAACCGCGATTATTGGATCTTTCCATCGACTGCACGACTCATTTAAAATCCACAATCGGCTGATGCTGGTTTGCAATACGAGGGTAGTCTTTACCTCAACGGTTGTCTCGCTGCTGCAGCTCGTGTACTTTGCTGCGTAGCTATCCATATTGTCCAATTTGCGAAATGGATATGTGGAGTCGTTGGCCATTTTGACCTGCTGCAATCTACGCTCATCCTTTTTGTTGGGATCCATCGAACTCCTTTTAGAGGAATAGTCTTGAGAAATGTTATGCAGTTTGCTTGCCCTTTCTTTTGGTAAAGACTTTTCAATTAATTCATCCTTTTCTTGATGACTACGCGCCTTCTCCTTTTTCGGAGCGGTAGGGCTCTCCCCCTTGCCATTCACGGCTTCATCATTTCTGGATGCAGAATCAACCTTATCGTTTCGGTGATACCATTTCGGGACAATTTCCTCCAAGATGTCGAGCCTTAATCTATTTCGCTGTGGTGACCCAAACTGTAGTCGTGATCGCTCTGATTCTACTTGCAATCGTTCCAATTGTTCGTTGCGTAGCGGTGATATTTCCAGGGTAGAGTCGTACTGTAACCAGTTGGTATTCGAACCATGATTTCCCCCAGGACTAATCCACGATCCCACTTGCATCAACCACTCTCCTAGAGGAATCAACCCATGGAAAAAAGCTAAGTATGATATTATGAAGAAGCTCAACGTTCGCTTCCAAGGGGAGGAACAGAAGAGCTTGTACCATAGAGTCTTGCGTCTCATGTGCCTTCGTTTCTTGTCTTTTCCAGGATAGTAGTGTCCTCCCATTAGAAAACTGTTGCAATTTATTGATGTCCGATCAAGTTGTTTGGTCGAAAAAGTTGTTGGAAGCAGTGTATCAGGATTATTAGTTTCTCGCGTTGCCTTGCCCCAACGACGACGGGAGTTAAAGATAGAGGAAAACCCGCCAGGAGAAGGAGAATCCTGGGTGATGGATGGCGATTTCCGGTGTCTTCTATGAGGTAGCATTGCTACTGTTCTCGTTGTTTTGGCAAATAAGAAATGCAGAAGACGAGAGAGAAGAATCTATGATCCATGCCAGCTTCGCATCATCTTATCTTTTATGGTATGGTACCGCAAGTAGGCTGCCATGCGAGATCGATTTGATTTTTAGGAGGAAACGAGGACAGAAGCCTGCTGGAAGTAAAAGGGGGAAGGGATGACTAAACAAGTTTTTTCGCTAAGTACTTTTTCTACATACGTGTTATTCGCAAGAGCCGTTGAGTTTCAAATGATTTCCAGGAGTCGAGTCAGTTATCGTTGTTGCAGTCTTATATCGTAAAGCTCAGGTCAGCGCCGCTTCAAGAAACGAGCGTCGACAGTCATCAAAGCAAGGAAGAGGGGTAAAACATGAGCAGTAAAAATAGCACAACGGGCAAGACGGACGCCCCCAGCGTCACCGCTGATGGGAAGCCTGTGAAGAGTTCCAGGATAAAAAAGATGATGAAGGGGCTGACCCGTAAAAAGAAGAAGTCATCGTCCAGTGTATCTGATGCCATGTCTACCGCAGTCAGCGTCCAAGCAGATGAAATTAGTACGATGTCAGTTCCTGTTAGTGGTGCGAAGCGCAAGCCTGTCACTCTTCAGCTGGTCTTATTGCTCATGGATCCATCGACTCGACGATTTGAACTGTTGCAACTTGAATTCGATTCGGACAAGGCTCGAGTCTCTGACATCATTGCCCAAATTCCAATTAGTGTTACAGAACCTTCCATTCGAAGTCAACAGTACGAAGGTGTCGTAGATGCCTCTGGAACCTCAATGAGCGAATTTGTGAGGCTGATTGACTTTTGCCGTGGTAGGACAGTTCTTGTTGCCCTTCCAAAGGGCCTCACAGTCAAAGAATGCGTGCGTTTGGCACGCCCTATTTTGTCTGATTCGCAAGTAGAGAAGATGGTACGTATTTACATATGATCGGGTCATCCAGAATTAGGGCTCATGTGAATGACAAAAACCCTGTTGCTGATCATTTGATTATCATTTATGCATTTTCTTGCGATGTAGCTTTCTGCTGGTGAATTCGATATTTCCGGATGGAAAAAGAAGGATAGCAAGGGAAGGTCGCGGGCAATCTCTGAACAAAAGGTCAAGCCTAGCGCGCCAACTCAGGTCAAGACAGAGAAGTCTCGTGAAAAGAGCATCTTCCCGACCATCATCATGCTAGCCTTAATTGCCATTCTTCTACAAGCAGCTAACAGTTTTTTGTCAAGTCCCATTCAAGTGGGCAAGCCACTCAAACCCGGAACATGGAAGAGCAAGTGCGGATTGTTGGGACTTGTTCCGCCATCGCCTTTAGACAAGTATGGCATCATTCCAGAGTGCACAAATTCTTTCTTAGAGGTGCATGGTGATGGTTCCGTCAGTATCCGGGATGCTGCTAAGGAGCTTGATGTATTGATGAGGGGGGGTGTCTGTGGAGAAGAAGACGAGGATTGTGTAGATGGTTTGGTGCTGGAAGAAGACGGGAAGGTCTTGATTGGCGGAACTCAAGTCAAGTCGGGCTTCATATATGGCGAAAGCACTGGATTGAATCCGTGGCCTTTTGAAAAGGAGCCCAAGCTGAAGCTGAAGCCCTCGTCCAGGTCTTAATTTCAACAATGTCTGGGACTGTTGTGTGTATGAGCGATGATAAAATTGAAAAATGTTGCAACGTCGCCTTACATAGTTAGTCAGTCTTTCCAGGGGTACCTACATAGAATTCGTTTCCTTTTCTTTCTTCAGGTTCATAACTTGTGATTCTCAGCTGGGTTGAAAAATAATGACAGTTTTCTTTTCAAGACGATCTTTACTAGCAGGACAAAAACCTTTCACAACCTGTACCGGTACCGGTACTGGTACCATTGTTACCAGTACAAGAAACCATTGAAACCTGCAGTAATGTGACGTTCACCGTGACGTGCGTAAGGAAGGATTACTTCGAATCGATCTGATGTCCGTCATCATCCATATTGATTGAACCCACAATATTCAAGCAAGAGGACTTGTACTGACAACATAACTAACCCACGAACAAGATCCAGCTTCAAGCAAGAGCTTTAAGAATACTAGAATAATGATGCAACGAATTTCGGAATCGCGCAGGATATCCTTTCCCCAATGCTGGTTAGCCCTACTTTGTTTTCTCTCTTCGACATCGGCGCTTGCTCGTCAAGGCACGGTTTCGCGAAGGGGTATCCTAGAAATCGCCGGTGGGATTGGTCTTGTGACATTGGCTCCCGCCCATGCAGAAGAAGATCTTTCTCAAGTTGTTGAAGTCGTGGCCACTGGAGATGCAAAGGTGAGTACATTCTCTGAGCTTTCTGACTCCAAAGACACTCGCCATTTAATCAGTTTGCTTTGAACAATTTTCCAGAAACTTTTCAACGAAGGTAGAGCACTGGAATCGCAGGGAAATATGGCAGCAGCGCAAAGAATATACTCGAAAGTGACCAAGATATCACCACGGTTTATCTATGGCTGGAGTAACCTTGCAAATACACAAGTTGCTTTCGGTGATTTAAGCAGCGCCGAGGAGAATTATTCCAGGGCAATTGAGCTGTGCAAAGAGAGTATGGATGGGAATGAAGAGAAGTTTGGCGTTCGACGTTGCAACGACATGTATTTGCTTCGTCTGAACCGCGGGTCGGTCAGGCTGAACAATGGGATGCCACAAGAGGCGCTTGTTGATCTTCAACAAGCAAGCATTTTGAAAGAACGTCCGGATGCAATCATTCTACAGAATCTTGCTCGAGCGAAAGAGTTGAACGGCTTGTACTCTTTGGCGGACAAGGATTACAACTTGGCTATATCTATGACTGCAAACGAAGTGAGCCCATTTTGGATACGGTCTGCCCTCTGTAAATATCAGCTCGGAAACAGATCTGAAGGATTCGATATTTTAAAAAGAGTGGAAAATCGCTTTCCAGAAGCTGTAAGTGCCATTTCAAATTCATTCCTCGATCTTCCAATCTCTATCTCACAAACCAAATGCTGCATCAGCCCGAAGTACGATCTGCCTATGCAGTGTTCTTGGCCGCTAACGGAGATCAAATCGGAGCGCAAAGAAAGTTTTTGGAAATTCCAGATCGTCAACGATTGAGATATTCCGATATCGACTATCTTACCAACGTAATCAATTGGCCTTCTTCTATGATTCGTGACGTGTCCAAACTTTCTGAGGCTGTCGGGGACAACAAAAGATAATGGAGTAGCAATATCTTCTAGCATGGGTTAACATACTACAATTGGTGTATTTGTCATGCCCCAGAATGTGAGCTTGCCTTGAAGAGTAATTGGTACTGCGAAATCAACACGATGGGCCTTGTTCTTATTAACCAAGTCTGGTAGCTCGTTGGCGAAGAAGGCCTTTGCACCAACGGCAAACCACACTGTCACATGAACAAAAGTGTTATTTGAGCACAGCATTTGCTGTCCGTCGACTGTAGTTTTTGCGACGTCTACCGCGAGTGCTGCAACTTGTTCGTTCCAAAGGAAAGACTTAATTGAAACGTTGACAGAACAACCTTGTAGATGAGAAAACTTCTCCATCATCTGAGCCTGATCAAAGTCATTGTGGTGGATCAAAGTGATGTGTGGCCTCGTAACAAATTGCGAGTCTGTATAGCATCCGCCTTGTATTGCGTAATCGTCTGCCGAACCCTTTGACGCCATCTTTAGAAAGTCTACCATACAGCTGCTGCTATTTTCAGTAAGAATCTGGTGAATTTGCTTCTTCTCGAGATCAATAGAAGCCAGTTTCAAGAATTGCTCTACATTGAATCCCGAATCTAGGGTTCTCACCCTGTGGGCAAGCTGCTCAAAAAAACTCCTTTCACAATCAGCAGGATCAACTGCTAATTGCGAAAGGAGCCTCCTATGTTTCTCTATGCTTTCCCTCAGAAGCTTCTCCATTTTAGAAATCGCTTTGTCAGTGGCTTTTGGCTTCTTCTTGCGGAGATCGTAACCTCGCTGAGCGTTGAAAGAGTTAGCACATTGGCCGGGCAAAGTACCTGTGTTTCTCTATGACTCACCTGTAGTTGAATTGCGGTCACAAGCTCCGAGCGCAAGTCGTCGGGCAAAAAAAATTCCTTTGCGCTGCGAAGGAATGGTAATACAATTGGCCTCAACGATATGATAGCTCCCCCGGATGCAACTTTAGTGTCGATATTTTCGCTAAACGCTTCTGCCGAGATAGACCTGTAGAGAGAGAAGAACAGAATCAATATCATACATGCATTTGGTGTGCTTTGGTCCAGTTTACCACGATGAGACTTTGGTGGGCGTTGAAGGACTCGATACATGCACACGGCCAGGTAGGACAGAGAGAAAGGATAGAAGTGTGTCGTGTCAGGGACTCGTTCTCCATCAGGGAACATTGTTCCCTTGATGTGGGTTGTTTGCAGGGCTGAGTTATCTGGAATCACTGCAATTGGAACTCCATTTGTATCATAGCAGTTCAAACCGATCAGTTTGAGTGAATTTGGGGGTGCATTCTTGTCAGCGACCATTACGCAACGCGAGTCGGCTCTACGCATTTTCCTGAGCTGGCTCCAGAAGCTCTTACCAACAGCATCGCCTTCGAGAACATAGACTTTTCGAGAAAAAGTCGCGCCGCCTTCGGAATGGAGGCCTTGTAGTTTTCCCAAGTTTTCGTCCGCCGAGTTTACAATGGTTGATTTTCCGCATCCAGGCAGACCAGGAAAGAAAACAAGCATACCACGGGAATTTTCATCAGTGTCCCTTTCTACTACAGACTTTAGTTGGCGTATGCACGACTTGAACTCCTCACTGCAATTGTCCTCTTCCGTGCTGTCTGGAATGTCTTTCAAACGTAGATCGATCCGTTCAGCACAGTCATAATTTCTCCATGATTTTGAGAACCCCAATACCTTTCCCCTATCTCTCTCTTCCGTGACTCTAATATTGAGATCCTCTTTGTTGAAGCCAAGGAAGATGATGGACAGAGTGTCGGACATCTGTCCAATTCTCTTCTTGGTATGTTTGTTTACAGCATTCAAGATTGAGCAAAAGCATATATTTCCAGGTAATAGGGAATCAGGAGCAACGGGAGCAGCCTTCATTTCTAATTTCTGAGCAATCACAAACGCAGCTCGTTCTGCGTCGTCTTGTGCTGGCGCAACGATGATGACTGTACCTTCATAGTTCGGTTTGATTGGCTTTGGGGCTTTACCTTCTTTGTACAGCCTCGAAAACTCTTCTAGATAATCGAGATAATTGGATTGGGACAACCGATTTCTATCCTTTTTTGCGGTGGTCAATACCGAGTGCGCAAAGAGTGCCCATGATTGTAAGAACGGAATCAGCTTGTTTTTGCTCTCCGCAGAAATGCCCCATTTATTCAACATGCTTTCAATCAGTCGGTAGAACTTGGGGGGGCCTTCCTTTTCAATCATTCGAAGATTATTCCGGCAAAGAAATGTTCTTGTCATGTATGGTAGGAACTTCATCTTGAGCATTAAGAAGTTCTCTGTCCTTCTATCTGATGCTTGTTGAATGTGATCTTCCCTTGTGTGTTCTATCACGAGGTCATTGGTCTTGGTGCCATTGATCTCAATACAAAATCCACGAAATAGGTTCATGTCACCGCGGTTTCTCTTGAAATGGTACTGTCGAAATGTCTCATCGTTATGAACATGAATGATGCATAGCCACCGACTCTTTTCACCTGGGCATTCTTCTTTGACCAAGACATAGCTCACCGGCTTGTTGAGACTTCCAACCCTTTGCAACATGCATGCAATTCTGCGCGTTTCAATATCACCTGACATCGTTGTGAGATGCTTCGTCATTGTTGGCAAGTCGACCGACTTGTCAGGATGCTTCAGGAATTTTGATCTTGGACCATTAGATGACAGTATTTGGTGCAAAGTATCCTGGAACTTATTTTCACCGCTATCGCTGGTTGAGAAACCACCACATGCCTTCGAAAGTTGCCTTAGACTGGCACCAAACAAAGATGATGTTTCTTCGCCTTCAGGTTCGAGCTCAAAACTGAATGGAAGATCACTAGGAACTTTTTCCAGAATGGTGATTGCTTCAGATGAAAGACGATCCATAAGACGCTTGGTAGTGTCAATATCTTGATTTTCCTTGTATGGCACGTATCGAATGATAATACCCTCGAGAATATCTCCTTGGAACTCCTCGTGCTGATACATACTTGGTACAGTTATATCAGCAGCGTCGCTCAAGGCTTCCACGGTATCCCTTGCCTTCCCGGTTTCTCTCGAAGCATCATACCATGCAAAGAGTCTTCTAACACTTTCGGCCGACGAAATCCCGAAAATCCATGTATCGTTGTGCGGGAGACGGAATCTCTGAGCGATTTGAATCACCTCAGCAGTGCTGTAGAAGCACTCTCTTGATCGGTCGGCAACGGCAGTCAGCATGACAAAGTCTTTTCTTGGTCGATCCCCGTGATCTCCCAACACGGCCGTTACCACTTCGAAGGACAAGGTAAGTCGATTTTCCTTTAGAAATTGGCTACAATCGTCGAATTGATTGTTTTTTTTGCCCCCGTTATGTTCACCCCTCCATGCTCTCTCCATGTGGCTACGGACTAGAATCTCTGCAGCGTAAGTGTACTGATTGTCAATCGAGTTTTTACTGTAGAATCTTGTGTAGCCGCTCCATAGCACCAGCGAGCCAGAGTGCTTCAGTGTCACTTCCAAATATCCTTGTTGCTCAGTAACTCGTTCCGTCATCTCTCGCCGCACCGCCATATCAGAGCGATTTTCATTTTCAAACTTGGGATGGAAGATTGCTTCCAAACGCATCTTGCGAATGGGATGCGGAAGATCCATTGAGCGTTGGACACTTGTTGCGGTAGCAGGTTTATCTCGTTTTTCGCTGTTTTGCAACCCCTTTGAATCGGATTCTGTCCGTGGACGCTTCTTTCCAGGGATTGCTACTGACATTCCGAAAAGTTGGTTTGGCATGGCTTGATACGTTCCCGCCCATCTAAAACCGATAAGATGCAGATGGATGATTTTCAAATCGATTTATTCGACTTTGACTGACGGACGGACGATCGATCCAATGGCATACTGGTACCGTGCTCGGTGCTATAACTTTCACTTTCAACTTGAAACTGTCGACGCCGTTTACCAAATTGAAAGTGCAAGTGGTATAAAAGATAAAACAACAACAGCTACTTCAAATATTGGTTGTGCTACTCTGATCATCATTCAAACGGCTATCAATTATTATTATTTTCAATTCACTTTCTTGCTCAACTAATTGACAGTCAATACGCAGAACGCAATCCTCTGGCTATCACTTCCATACATTGATTCAGAGATACAACCTCTAGCAGCAAAGCCAGCATTCCACAGAGAGAGAGAGAGAGAGAGATTGTAGAAACAAGGAAACAAAAGACAATACGCGTTCTCCGGAAATTTATATAGAGAAATAAAATGAACTTTGCAGATGCTTATGCCGAATCCCCAGACTCACCAGAAACTCCACGCATCATCAAGGAGGTTAGAGATGATTTGAGAAGCCGTATTAGTGAATTTCACATCGATCTTGACGACGAAAGTATTAGAGGGGAAGTCGCCAAACTATCCAATCACCAAGATGAACTGCAGAAAGAATTGCAGGCTGTCATGCAAGTAGTACAAATTGTGGAATTCGAAGACCATTATGAGGATGATCTTGATTTGAGCTTACGTGATTCCTTTCATAAAACAGGATCTGGAAGAAGTCTTGGTAGCATTGAGCCTCAACCTTCTAGTGAAGACCTAGATGACACTTCACGTACGCGAGACAGCATCCACAGCACTTCCTCTGTACAACAAAAACCATCATTCGCGAAAGCTTTCTTCAAACTATCGAGACCTGAAATCACAATTTCACTCGAGGCACAGAAAGAACGGCAGAAGGAAATCGTAAAAGAAAGTCTGGCGGCTGCGCACCCTGGGCTAGAAGATATAATGGAGATCCAAGAAGAAATGCAACGAGAAATTGTCCAGGAGCACAAGGATACGTTGGCAGAAAAGGAAAAGGGCGACCATGATTTGTCACCTACCGAGGACTTGGAAGAGAAAGAGATTTCGTTGGAGGAGGAGAAGTCAAAGCAAATGGAAATGTTGGCGAAAAGACTACAGGAAATTGATCCAGAATTAATGCGTCAAATGACATCACAAAAGAATAGGCAAGCAGAAATCGTTGCGAAGAAAGAATTAGAAATCAAAAGAGCCCAAACTCCTCCGAGAGCTCCTCGGCAAGGAAGACTCACCCAAACAAAGTCGACAAAGAACTTTTGGAATGGTGCAATGTCGAAACTAGAAGGGCTCGAATGGAAACCAGCACTAGCTAAATTGGAGAACATGGTAGGGAGAACACCAAAAGTCAGCAGAAAATCAGCTCCCGAGACAATAGCTGAAGTGCTCGAGACTGACACAGACTAATGAGTTTTGAAAATCCAATGCTAGGCTCCGTTACCAACTTTGCCAATAAACAACCGTTGCCATTCAGTGTATTTTCCATTCTCCAAAGCATGCTTTCCTTCCAGCATATCATATTGAAAGCTTCGTAAGCTAAGGTTAGAAGCGTCTCACAGAATGTCGTCGCTGGTGCCCTGATTGCCTGTCTCCCAAACTCATAGCCATGACTAAGCATCCAGCTCCCAAGCACAGCGAGCCAACTGCAATTGCTGTCCAGAAATACTTTGATGACATTTCAAAAGGAACAATGTCCTCTTCGCCTTTACCGTCGTCAGTACCTTCACTTGACTTTGCAGCCGTGGATGCATTTTGAGAAACTTGTTGGTTCGTCTTGGAAGGACCATCGCAATCTTCTTCGTTTTTGGTCTCCATGATGCTATCCACTCGGTTCTTTTTCGCCTTTGCGACAGGCTTTAGGTCATTTCTCGTCGTTGGGGGTGTCGCTGTCGATTGACTATCTATCTTCGCATGATTATGCCCTACATTTTCTTCAATCACTTCGTCAAAGAAGTCTTCAATATCCTTACAGGTAAGACCATCACGCTCCACTCGAACCAACCCTGCAGTATCGAGGCGCGTCTTGTCGTAGCCCTTGTTGGACTCGTCCAGGTGAATGGGTGGTGCAGTAGCACCCGGAGAGAACAAAATCTCCACGCGAAATCGCCTTGCTTCTTCCATTGGCCGACTTGTATCTTCGAAAAGGCGGAAAACCACTTGTGTTAAGTAGCACAACTCGGGAGTCTGGTTGACGAAATCAACCCCTGGTTTTGACAAAACGACTTTCCCGTCGCCAGCAAATCTAAGCACGTTGAGCAATGTATGCAAATGACTTTCGCTTGTAAAATAGAGACGGGTTCGAATACGGCGGCCCATCGTGTTGATTGGAAGGTCGGCGGAGTAATCCATGTTGATCATGTATCGCATGTCAGCTTTGTTGTCTGTTCGTGCTATATTCAAGTCGTTCCGAATCTTCTCTACAAGAGAACTACATATCTTCACTCCCACGCTTCTCTTTTCTGAAGCTGTGGTTCCATATTCCTGTGGGACCACGGCGTCAGCCATGCATTTGGCAAGCTCGTAAAGTTTCTCTAACGTGTTTGTCAGTCCCAAATGAGGATTATGTAAAACATCGAACCTTTTTTGGTTTGTTATGGAAATAAAAGTGAGAGAACCTTAGACCGGGACGGAAAACAAGCTGCAGGATCTTCTTACCTGACGTTATCTGTGTTGTTATTGTTGTTGTTGTTGGGAACAGAGGTGAGAGAACGATTGGATCAAAACAATGTGCTGCAAATCTTCCTACCATGAACATCAGGCACTCTAGATAGATCGAACAAATTTGTTTCCACATCGTACAGACGTTTGTGAATGAAGCGCCATCGCTCTGTCAGTTCAAGAAGAGTCTCTCCCTTGTACAACTTTACCCCACTGAGGGCTACGTCATCTTCGTTCTCTCCTTTCAAGCCTTCGCCATCTTCCATTCTCATTTCGTCTCCACTTCCCATGAGATCAAGCATTTCTTCGAGTTGCTCGATCAGATATCCCATAGTTTTATGAATTTCCATCAATGTCAAACGTGGGTTTCCAATCTCAGCCAGAGCATCATGGAGAGATGTGAGCTCTGGTGGACCAACCATGCGTCCACGATCTTCCGGAGACATTTCCCTGTAATTGATATCCTGCTGAAGATTGGCCGTGATCCTCTCTTTGCATTCATCGAGCTCAAGTTTAACTTCCTTATCGCCCGATGGGTCAAGCATATGCAAGCTAGAAGAAAAGAAAATTGAGAACAACCAGTGTAGAAGCCGCGTACTACTCGCCTCAACGAGTTCGTCATTCGTCCGATGGTCTCTTCCAAACTCAAAATGGAGGAGGCCAAGAAAGACAACGGTGCTGATACCAGTCCCAAAATGTGATGACGTACCTGCCCTTCTCTTTGTGAACAAGAGACACAAGAATCGGCGGAATCTCTCCCTCAAGCTCCAGTAGACCTTTAGCAAAAGCAGCAGCCGTTTTCATCACGCGGCCTTCATCGCTGGTTCTGATCTTCAAGTCGTGTCTAAACGTGGAATGAAGCCGAAGAATGCCACCACCAGGAGCATCTGGATACATCTCCTGACGAAATCGCTGCCCAAGGTGAATTGCTTGACTATATATAGCCAGCAAGTGTCTCAGTGACATCGAACAAGGTGAATCGACGATGCACAAAAAACTTACGTTTCTCCCAACTTCGTCAGGTTGCCACCCCATTTCAGTATGAGATGTAGTTCTGTACATGTTTGTTCACCGTTTTCGCCTTCTTTCCATTGTCGAGGCTTGATTTGCAACTTCCGATTCAAGCCAGCTATTTTCCACCGCTCTAGGATATCTCGCATATGGCGTAGTTTGTACACGGTCTTGCTGTCCATTGAATCTGATGATCGAGAATTTGAGAGGACTGATTTCACTGTTTTCAGGAAGTCAGTCATTGGTGCCTTGGCTTTCACCTTAAGGTCCTTTGTCGGATCATCACAATGCTTGTGAAAGAATTGCAAGATCCGCTGTTCCGACATCTTCACCTTAAGCTTCTGTTTGGGCGTTCTGTCCCCGTGTCTCACCACCGCGATTACACAACGGAGCTCTTCTTTGTGAACTCCAGGAAATTTCTCACAACTATTGATTCCATTCATCTTTGCTAATTTGGTCAAATCATCAGTGGAACTAGCGTTGGATGTGCACAAAGAGGCCGGCTCTGACACGAGGTGCCCAGGAATCTCCCGTACTGGAATCGCACCTTCTTCCAACTTCGTCGCTGCCACTTGGGCGCTGCTGACAGAATTTGTGTCTGAACGATGATTAGGGGACTGTACATCTCTCTTCGACTGATCCGTAAACCGTCTGAGTAATCCGGAAAAAGAAACTTCTTCTACGTTGCTAAGCAATGGGTCAACAGTGGAGAACCCAAGGTTAATCTCTGGGCGCACTGTAGCGAGTACATGCTCCGTCAAGATTTGGGCACAATCATCATAATACTTCCTACTATTCTTGACGAAAGACCACCCATTAACATCGCAGACATAGGAAACCACCGAATGTCCCTCCTGGACGCGTAGCAAATCAAATCCACAAACAAATTGCCCAAAACCGAGGACAATTCTTCGAGCAATCTCTTTTTCTGTCAATGTGAGGATGACTGGGAATCGAACCTTCGGATATGGTGGTAGTGGTGTTTGACGAGCAAATGGTGAGTGAGATCACGCAACATGATAAATACATTCTTCCGTTCTCCATTTCTTCAAGTAGTCATTTTGAGGGGTGCTCAACCTCGAAACTTCTGCTGAACAATCAATCAATTCTCTACTGTACTGCTTCTCAATCACTCACCTCCTTTCTGCGAGACGATAATTTAGGACCATCAGACTGTGTTAATCGACTGCGAGTATGTGACTTACCCATCTACATCACGTTGCACCTTGCCGTCTACGGTCGGGGACTTTCGAGCTTCTGCATGTCCATATTCGGGCCCAACAGTGTACATCTTCACATCAGTTCCCTGGGTTTCTGCGAGACGATCATTAGGACCATCAGACTGTGTCAATCGACTGCGAGTATGTGACTTACCCACGAATGCTTCGTATATGTAAGAACCGTCGCGTCGAACCTCGTTGATATCTGCAAATGCAGGAGAAAGAAGCGCGGGTACATCAGAAAAGACGATACAGTGTTGACTCCAAAGCAACAACATCTCACCGGGATAAAACTCTGAGGATCTATTTCCAATCTTGCGAAACAGCTTTTTGCATCCGCCGCCCGCAGAGCTTGGATAGTAGATGGCAATGTTGTGGTCATCTGCGTCTACGGGCTTTTCAACAAATGGTTTGTCGATGCTCATACCATTTACTTCAATGTGGTCATCAAACTCGTGAACTTCTCTCTCTCGGGCACCATTTCCGTCACCAGTTCCAGTGCTCACATAATCATCTAACGACACGTACGCATGACGAGGGACATCAATGCCGCTCTCCTCTAGCAGATCGTATACCCTTCTTCTGTCCATCAATAGCTCTTGCATCTCCAAATCGTTGAGGATAAAAGGCTTCCTCAATTCGAAGTATTCCTTTGCTTTGGCAAGAGGGTATCCTTTTGAATAGAATGCAATCAAAATATCACAAATTGGCCTGTTTCAGAAGCGGGACTGTCGTTCAGGACCTGTCAAAACTGTGTCTTTTCATTGTGTGATAGCGACTTACCATTCCTCAATAGATTTGTTAAGAATCATCTCATCCCCAAAGAATACAACGTGAAAGAGAATTGGGTCAAGCCTGCTCAAGATTTCGGCCATTGGCTTTGACCTTGCTTTCTTGTCCATTGCGCATATTCCCAATCGAATGCGATCAGGATATTCCTCGCTCAGCTCGGCTGCTTGGATGATAGGAATCACCCCCGAAAGTGAATTTTTTTTGTGTCGTTTTTTGTTAAAAGCTACTGGCGCAGTAGGTCTTGTAAAAACAGGAGCAATGGTAACGGTCCTGGGTACACCCTTTGCTTCCGATTGCTTCTCTGTCTCATTAGACTCTGCTTCGTTTGCAACGCGATCTTGGTTCATATGAGTGCCTCCAATATTGCGGTGAACGATCCTATTAGCAACTTTTGCTTGATGATGATGATTCGCAATTGATTCTGACAGTGTATCTGATAGCCAACTGGCACCTTCCGCTTGTGTCTCCGTCCTGGGTCTTTCTACTGGAGTGTATCGGTAGCTGTTGTGGGGTGGTTTTGGTGATTTTGTGCTCTGCCGGTACTGTGGCTCACAGACTTTTCTGAGTTGGAGGCTCTAAGTGAGTACCTTGGGACATTTTTTCGTGCTGCAAATCTTTTCAGTTCGTTTTGTGGTTGGCTACTTTTGTGCTATCATCGACAAGAACCGCACTTTGTACCACCTATATTGTAATAGAAACTTGAAAGACAATGGGTGCCTGTCTTGGCAAATCCGAAGAAGCAGACAATGGGCCATCTGGATTCGAGGTCGGAGGGGATTCCAAAAAGAATGCACAATCAGTACATTCAGTCATCCTTCGCCATCGGAATATCGATGTCTACAAAAAGTACGAAACAAAAGAAGTTCTGGGTCAGGGTTCAATGGGATCTGTTTCGAGAGTTCAAGTCAGGGAGGGTCAAGAAGGTGGTTCAGCATTCAATCCAAAAGTCAAGAAGGGAATGACAAGGCAGTCATCGAATGTTAGCTTGTCTGAAAGGAGGGCTCACAAAGTGGATTATGCTCTCAAGCAAATCCAGCTGGATAAGGTCTCCTCTGCCTTTCTAGAGGAGTTGCACAATGAAATTGATATTTTGAAGGCCATGGTGCGTGGTACCGGTATTAATATATGTTTCATGCGAAAAAATCACTATGATGTTAATGCTGACCGTCAAATTTTCTTTGCATTTGCAGGATCACCCAAACATTGTGAAGGCACATGAGGTTTACAATCACAAAAAGCAAATTTACATTATTCTTGAACTTTGCGATGGCGGAGATCTTTACACTCGACTACCCTACAGTGAAATGGAAGCCGGATACATCTCTGGCAAGCTGTTGTCAGCTATCAAGTATATGCATGACCATGGAATTGTTCACAGAGATTGTAAGTGAGACTCGAGTCGCTGACCTTCTCGTCTGTTCGTATCTCTGACAGCACCTTCTTTTCTCTTTGCTTTAGTAAAATTTGAAAATATTATTTTCGAAAGTCCACATCCAAAAGCAGAAATCAAGGTAATTGACTTCGGATTGAGTAAAAAGTTTGGGAATCAGGCTACCGGAGTCATGCACGAAGGTGTTGGGACCTTATACTCTATGAGTCCGCAAGTTCTACAGGGAGTTTACACTTCCCAGGCCGATCTTTGGAGTGCTGGTGTCATCATCTACATGTTGCTCTCATCGCATCGTCCGTTTTACAGCAAGAAGCGGAAGGTGATGATTGACAAGATCATGCGTTGTGAGTCGCCCATTGCAGCCAACTGCTGTTGTGCCAGTCGTTGTTAGTTTTGCGCTTACCAATGTTTTCCTTCTCAGGCGACTACAACTTTAACAAAAGCTACTGGGATCCCATATCCAACGAAGCCAAGGATATGATTGACAACCTTCTGGTGATAGATCCTAAGAAGCGCATGGATGCGACAAAGGCATTAAAACATGTTTGGCTTTCTAAAGAATTCAAGTTGTCAGACCGCAAACCTGATCAGACAACTGCAGACGCAGTTCAGGGCAACCTGATGAATTATAAGGATGTTCACGCATTGAAGAAAATTGCGCTCAATGTAAGATCTCTTTTCGCAATTAGATCAATTCAATCCATTATATACTCATTCACAGCAAAACAATACAATACTGGCTTATAGGTAATTGCACACAAATCAAGTACCGATGACATTTTGGAACTACGAAAGTGCTTCGATCAGTATGATGTTGCAAACAACGGAACAATCTCATATGACGAGTTCATGACAGCGCTCAAGGAGAAAAATTACCCCGAAGAAAGGGTGAAGGAAATTTTCAACAGCATGGTACGACTACGACTTTCAGATTTTCTATGCACGAAATCGTGTTTTCTCAGCTTTACGCGTGGAATCGTATAGGATGTTAACAAAAACGGCGTAATCATGTACACCGAATTCATTGCAGCTACACTCGAGGCTCAAGGACATATCGAAGAAGAGCGCATAGCTGAAGCTTTTGACAGATTGGATTCTGATGACTCAGGTTTCATTTCTCGACAAAACCTTACGGAATTTCTTGGTCATGAGGCCACTAGTCAAGATATTCAAGATTTGATCAATGAAATTGACAAGGATGGTGATGGAGAAAGTAAGTTTTTATATTTTACTTATGCACAAATTGTGACGCCTTCTAACATAAAGTTCTGTTTCAGTTTCATATGCCGAATTCCTTAGCATGTTCCGTCAGAATCGAACCAATCTCTTTGATATAATTGAACCTGCGGAATCAGTTTACAGTGAAGACGGCCTCCTTGGCCTCGATGCCAAAATCCCCGGTGGAAAATTTGATTCTTCTAGATCTGGCGCCTAATGGTCATCACCATTCACTGGGCTTTCTCGGAGAACCACCTTGTGTCGTTGTTTGTTTTTGTTCTTGAAGGTAGGCAGACTCAAATGTGTAGCGCTAAATAGTTTTTAGATCTGCTATCAATTGTTGTCACTTTCATGGTTGTAGGAGCTCCAATTCTTCTACAGCCAAACTCCGCGTGTCGATTTTTCCTTCTCCTTGGCAAAGAAATAGCTTCCCTTACATTCTGGATCCGCAATTGAAATGTCTAGCGGATCGCCGTCGTTAGAACTATCAAAAGAGGCAGAACGAGACACGTCCAAGTCAAGGTCTTCAGACTCGAATGTCTCCCGCCTCTTGTAAACGTCAACCATCGCATCTTGTAGATTGGACGCCGACTGCTCGTTCCACAGATCTAGAAACTTTTGGTAATCAATCTTGTGATTTTTTGTGCGGTCCACTTCTTCGATGATTGAATCAAGGTACTCGCCTGAAATGTTGTGTCCGATAAATTCTCGCAAATTCTCAACAGTGATGAAGCCAGAGTCATCACTGTCTAGACGATCGAAAGCCTCCGCAATTCGTGCTTCATCGATGTTTCCGTGAGCTTCCAGCGAACCAGCCAAGAACTCTGAATAATGCACCCTGCCGGTGCAGTCTATGTCCAGGGCCTGAAACATGAAGTCAAGCTCTTCGTCAGTGTACTGATAGACCGTCAGTGCCTCCTTAAATTCAACTATGCTTATTTCGCCATCGTTGGTGATATCAAATTTGTCAAAGATTTTTCTCAAGAAACCAAGCTCTTCATCCGTTGACTTGTATGCCACGACAAGAAGGGCCAATTTTTTCAGTTTTCCGTAGGTTGCAAAAGTGCGGATAGATGCTGACACATTATCCATCAGCAGCCATGATACAGGGACATCTGAGTGGAGTCGCTTGAGCCATTGTAGTTGCAAAGCCTCCTTTGCCGTAGGTCGCTCATTGGCTGCTCTTGACAATGCCTTGCAAATAAAATCTTTGGCGGCTGAAGAAACTGGATTCCAGCGTTCGCCTCTGAAGGTGAACGACCCCCGAAGAATCCGACGAACCACCTGCTTCCTGCATAAACCACGACCATTAGTAATTTGATAGGAAACTTCATCCTTTCCAAGCAGTGCAATTGAACGTACCGATTCTTTCCATAAAATGGCAATGACGATGATAAAAGCATGAATGCGATCACTCCTACCGACCACAAATCCACCTGCGATGTATAGTCGCCTTTTAAGACTTCAGGAGCCATGGTATACACCGTACCAACAGTGTCGTGAAGGTGTTCCTTCGTGGCATACTTTCGCGACAAACCAAAGTCGATCACCTTCACAGAGTATGTGGATGGATGTCCAAACATGATATTCTCAAATTTTAAGTCACGATGAGTGATCCCTTTGTTATGCATGTAGCTCACAGCATCAACAACAGAAAATATAATGCCACACGCCTGTTCTTCATCATACGGATCACGAGAGTAAAGATCGCCACCAGAGCAAAGCTCGAGTACTAGATACATTCTGTTTTTGTAGTCAAAGGTTTCCTTTTTTATTCCGGGTGAGCTTTGAAAACACTGTATGGAAGAAGAAGATTGGTTTACTTACAATGGCTTTGACAATATTCGGATGATCAAGGGTTTGAAGGATAATAATCTCATTCATCAGTTCCTTGCGGAAAACCGAGTCTCGCACACGGTCCACATGGATAGATTTCAAAGCATAAGTAACATCTTTTCTTCCGTATGATATTATGGAAGATGACGTCGATATCTGTGATGATTCTGAGCTTGTTCGAATGTTGTGATTGTTAATTGAAGAAGGAACCATAGGGGTGGTCTTATCTTGAGACGGCGCATTTTCCTCGATCGTTTGCAATAAGGAATCTTTCGTCTCTTCCTTTTTCGACATAGGACAAATTCCAAAGCATGGAAATTCAAAGTCTAGACACCACAACCACGATCTTTGTTTCTCCTGCTTGACGAATTCTGATCGCGCTGATCCGCCCATCATTGATTTTAGTTTGTGAACCTTGCAGACATTTCCCATAGAACCCTCCCCCAGGACCTTGATAATCTCATAATATCGATATGGATCTTTCTCAGTCCTCGTTCTCATCAAGGATCCATGTAGAGATGGCAATGGGATAGACAATGAATCCCCTGACCTATCCGAGTTTGTCGTCGTGATAGAATCAGAGGACGAAAGGAATCCATCCCTTGTGCCTGCTTTTCGTCTTCTCAAACTGCTCGTAACCTCTGTCTTCAACGGCTCCAGTCGATAAGGATCGTTGCTATCCATTTTGTGACGGTGAGAAAAGACTGTTTAACAGATGGTACCTGGTACCTGGTTCTGAACCGGCACCGTCCTGCAAACCACTTTTTGTTAGCTTCGCCCGTAAGCATTGTTTAGCTCTTTTCTATTATGATTCACTGGATTAACTTTTATTATATTAGCTGACTCTTAACGTGACAACGTTGTGCTCCTGACTCTCATCGTGGAGAGAGCGTACTAGTGCATTGATGTAGCTACTGTTGGGCATGATAGACGGTGATTGATATTGCTATTGGGGTGTATTTACGGGGGTCT